GTTAGCATATACATATATGTAGTGGCCATTAATTTTGTCTTTAGATATCTTTTTTACCGTTCGTGTATCGTCTTCGAATTACCACGAGCCACATTGGAGTCTGATCAGTTGTGTGGCCTCTTGTTTGAAAACATACGAATTCTCTTTCGTTCCCTCGACTTTCCGTAACTCCGCTTTCACCGTCTTCGTTGAACGCGTGTATTGTTTCACGTCGTTCGTTCAACTTACCCGCGCCATTGCGTTTCCGTAACGTTTATGAAGTTAGTCGGAACGATCGTGCGGCGTAAATAAACTTTTACCGCGTCGAGAGACGGAGTTATCGACGATCGATTTTGCAAATGGAACGAGGGAAGAGTTCGTAACAGAGTACAATAATGAACGGTTGAGTTTCTTACTGTTTTGATAGCACGATTCTAAGAAACGACCAAACTTTAGCATTAAGCACGCAGAATTGACGAGAAATTCTTCGTTCGGAGCCCAAGCAACACCAGTAGAGCGAGACAGTCCATCTTCGAGCAATTAGTTAAGAGTTCTCTGCCTAAGATTTTATTTTTTACATTCTCTTGTACAATGCTTCGAGCTTGATCACCGAGCGTCTCTTGAGCGTATGCAGTTTGTTTTTATATTTATTTAGAGTACCGCAGGGCGTATATATTTTTCTTTTTTTTTTTTTTTTAATTCTAATTTATATATATATACATATATGTGTGTATATATATATTCACGTATTTGACAATATATACGACAAAGTAAGAATAATCGTTGATATAGAAAGGATATTATCTCAGGAACGTATCGAAAGAGAGCGAGAGATAGTGTGATTAATATATTAAAAATATTATAATCTATTAAGAATGCGTTTATATTTACATATACACGTACACACACACAAACACACACACACACACATATACACGTGTATTGTGATTGCCATTGCGACGGACAAAAATTTATCACGCCGTTAGCGTTAATAACGCGTCGATGTAATTGTTGTTATTGTTATAATTATTGTCACAATTAGCGGTAGTATCTCGAACCTAGACCATTACATTGTATTGTGTGATTGCTATGATCGTTGCCTATTCTCCAGCTTCCCGGTGCAAAATTTTATATCGTTTCGTTTCTCTCTCTGTTTTTTGTTTCCTTTTATATAAAACTTTAGTTCCATGTTCGAGAATCGTTTTCCCTCGCGGACGACGAGAACACGAAATCGAGTATAGAAATTTGCACGGGGGAAGGGATCACTTTTCGGAAGGCGCGTATTATACTTTTAACGAACCTAACCGTGGGCCTTTCTCACAGCGAATGTTTATTGTAACAAACGGCGCGCCAGCCACGGGGAAATGTTTAGACGATTCCGGAAGAACGGACGACCGATGTATTTCCGTTAACGGAGTTTCTTCTCTTTATGTTCGAGCGGGACGAAATGTACTTTTTGTGCCCCGAGCGTTTCGTTTTAGCGATTACTCGACGCGCCGTTCTCCCCGAATCGGTTTAAAGCGAGAAACCGGGGGGGGAACCTTTGTCCTCTTTGGCCTTAGTCGAAACGTCGTTGCGATAGCAAACAGGATATCCCCCCCCCCTACCCTCTGCGTGATGCGTAAAAGATAGACGGGAAGAGGCTTCTGTCGAGAGATGAACGGAATCGGCCTAGTTGAATTGTGCAATTGTGGCAGTCGTGCGAAGACAAAATAATTGCTAAGGTAAATTATGTAGGTTTTGTACTCTCCGATCGTGAGAAAATTGAAAGATATATATATATATATATATATATATACATATATATACATATATATACACGCTTATATGTATATATATATATATGTGTGTGTATATGCATTAATAATATTGATAATAATACCCACGCATGCGACCTGGCGGATTGATACGAGTGATACATTTACGAACGTTGAGCTACGGAAGAGGAATACGAGAAAAAAAAACAAAAAAAAGAAAAAAAAGAGATGTGTAATATTGCGAACACTGCAACAATAACTGTACACAATGTATATCAACCACTTGTCGCGTACGTTGCCTGTTTCACGGACACGATAAACATCTGCGTTTCACAGACGTGCCCTGAATATCGACGAAATCTCGAGCGACGTTTTGTGGTACCAAACGTTCAGGTAACATCCACGGGCCACCGTTACCGCCATTTGTTTTTTTTATTTCGACAATTTTCATTTCGCGACGAAACGTTAGCGAACGCAACAAGGAAACTCTCGCGAATTGACATTATCCTGGAAACGCAGGTGCTTACGTGGAAATTAGACTGTTATAGCCCACATTTATATATATACATATACGTATATATATATATATACACACACATATATATATATATATACATATATACACAGGAATCGTACGCGTCACGTGTTCGACCAAGAAAAAAAAAAAAAAAAATAAGCATCGCAAATAAACGTTCTGTGGAAACGAAAAGTACCTTAGTGATTATTTTGTCTCTTTCTTAACACACCATATATATGTATATATACATAGATAGATTATATATATATATATGTATATATACGTATATCTACATTTAGAATATAATACCGCACACCACATCGCCGCATCTTTTTGTGTACTAACATTATATCACAGCTATCAGTATGTAATACGACTATCATGTGTAAAAGTCTATCCATTTTATATATATATATATATATATATATATATATATATTTATATATACATCATACATGAAGGATAAGTTCTCCGTTATCAGGAGACGCCAATTAAGACACATGTTATTTGATTTTTATTCGCTTGGTGGAGGGTACTACGATCGTTTGCCATTGTTATCGTTGAACATCGACGGCTATTGTTGTTATCGTTGTTGTTTGTCGTGAATGTATGTGTCGTGTAATTTTGCATGGGCATGCGCGCGGTAGCAAAGCTTTTGTGTTGTGTGCATGCGTACTGTTTCTTTTTTGTTTTTTCAGGCACGCTTCAACTTGCGTTTCATTTTGTTTTTCTTCGACAAAGTAACTTTTTTTGTTACGTTCTGACGATGAAACTGTGGGTGAGGGGGGGGGAAATAGAAAATTAGGCGTAAATTAATTTTTCGACGACATTTCTCGGGGACTCGAGAATTATTTGATCCATATTTTTTCGCTCAACGATCATTTAGATGTAAGCTTGTTTGGGGAAATGGAAATAGTTTTCAAACACGATGGCCCGAACAAACAATTTATTCGTAACGTTATCGGTCTCATGATTTAAACCTTATCGGTGTAATTATGAGTAATTAGTCCAACAATAAACATTCCATTAAACCGTGACCGAAATCATTATGATTTAATTGTTCAGTCCATTAGGTTTAAGGATTATTTTCATTTTTTCACTTGAGTTTTTCTTTTAAACGATACACATTTGTTTGTAATTGCTTCGTTACATAATGAAATTAGTTTGCACAATTTCTATGAAGAAATTTCATTTATTATTTAACTCGACGTTTAGACGTTATGTGCAGGTCCGCTGCAAAGGACGGACATTATTTTAAATGGATAAAAAATATAAATAAACAGAAAAAATATCAGTAAAGTAATTATACAAAATAGAGAAGAGTAAGTACTAATTTAATAATATTAAAAAGATGTGGGATGTGGCATTTGTTAATACAGAAGGCTATGAGAACATAGTACATTTTAGAATTAGTATACAGGGTGTCCCACGCAAATGGAACAGGCTATATCTCCTAAACGGTTGGGAATAGAAAAATATGTTATAAGTCAAAGTTAAATGGTATCAGACGATGCGTATTATGCAACTAATTTTATGCACTTTTGTGCATTGGTGTTTCCTTTTGGCGCGTGTCTGGACTTAAGATCGAAACGTTAAGTTAAATAATAAATATAATTTGTACATATAGATCAATATTTAGTTAGTTGAAAGAACAAAAAAGTGGGACTTTTACATACACATTTAATTTGCATTAATTACTGAGATTCTAAGTCGAGCTATACTTCACGTTGCGATATTCTTTCATAAAGATACATGAGAATACATGTGGATATATTTTTAACGTAGTTTGGTATATAGATTCGCTAAAAAAAATAAACTTTGTAATTATTCTCGCCAAGATTCATCTGTGTTAAAACAATTTCGTTCTCACCTTTTGTGATTTTCTTAATTAATATAAAAAAAATAAATGATTAGACACTTACTGAAAAAAACATTTATTAATAAATATGAAGATTGGTGAAAATAATTGTTGCAGAATATATTTTCGATCGTGATGTTTTAAATTGGATACAGACGTAAGCAACAAAAGTTTCAATTTTTTAATTGCCATTCCTTTAATATTAATTTTTCAAAAATAAATCGTTCATGTCGTACAAGCTTAGTAGAATAGAAGAAAAGCAAAAAGAAAGTTTTATAATTCATATGGTGGGGTAAATCAACATCAATTAATTACGTTTTCATAAGAGATTATGCAATGTCAACACAAATAGAGTTAGAAAACTAATTATTTAAATGACTCGACTCTAATTTTTGGGTTTTCTTCAGTAAACAATATTTTAATCTAAAAAATAGTGTAAGGATCTTTTCAAAAATGAAAAACTAGGCCAATAGTACTATTATTTACTATTTTCATTTACAACCATTATATGTTTGCAATAGGTGAACAGAACTTATGCTTTTATTAAACAAACATATAATTAACGTTTGATTTATAAATTCTTTGACAATAATTTTTGAATATCTTTTTAGATAAATAATTTTACTTAACGTAGTAATTTTAATTTACTTATAAGTAACTTATTCTTGCACCGCTTCTTCCAATAATACATTTTACCTTCACACATTATTTACCGAAGAGGATCCAAAACTAAGATCGGTATTTACACGAAACATTTTATGTTATCCAACGATTCGTTAATTCAAAGCCAAGTTTAATGTTCGAACGGCGTTTATTACGAATTAATGATCTTTCTTAAAGTCTAGAAGCGTTTCGGAATGAAGTACCACAGTTCTGTTTGTATTTTCAGGAAAAGCACACGTCTAGCCACCACAAAAGTTCCAGCAAGATGTCGCAGTCCCAGCAGTCTCATACGACGTAGTATTTGGACACTGGTAGAAGAAGATGTCGGTAAACAAAAGAAAAAGAAAAAAACAAGAAACACGAAAAAATATCTGCAGGAAGCCCTTCCGAAGTGACCTGATCGATAATCCGCCTGAATGGAGGGATTCATCTTACTTCGCTTCTTCGTCCTTATTGAAAAACCGCGTCGAGACATCGGAGAATGCAGCTTTCATCGTTATCCTCGTTTGCTCGCGCTCGTCCCGGACGATTAAGAAGAAAACGGATCTTCCCCAATTATCCGTCGAGCCTCCCTTCCATCAACGTCTTCGAGGGAAAGTTGTTCTCTCGTTCCCGGCCATTGCTGGCGCCGAAGATCAACGAAGAAAGCGCGTGCTTGACCGCCTCTACGTTAGCCAAAGTTTAACGTAAATCAATCAGCAATATAATGCTTTTGACTGCGAACTGAATGGAAGGAAAAAAAATAATATTCTTACTCAGGTCAAATTAGGTACACGATAAGTTAAGAGGAAAGCAAACTTCACTTCGTCCTTGGTCGTTGGTACACGCGACTGATCTTCACTTTGTTTCTTACATTCACGTCGTTCGTTGTTATCCGCAACACACAGGGGATGAATTTTGTTTTCCCCTTTTTTTGGGGGGGTGGGGGAAAAAAACGCGGTTCAAACTTATGAAAGATCACGTCTAGCATCGTTGCGGCCCTCGGGATCTTCGAATGTTCCGCGTTTGCTCGCGGAAACGTGTACGTCGCACGCTACAATTGCTACCATTTCTAACGATCGTTCAAGGTCGACAGATCGGTTATAGGAGCACGGTAAAGGAAACGAATACTCTTCGAGTCAAAAAAAAATACCTATATTTACATATTCTTTCGACGAATCCGTGAATCGAACCGTTTTGCGCCTCGAGGGCTGCCTTTTTGTATTTCTTATTTCGTTAAACTGCCACGTTTCATTGCATCGACGAACGCGAGACAATGCATCGCCAACTTCATGACTATTAAAATTGATCGTCGATCGATTCGTTAGGTAGGGACCCCTTTGAACGTAGAATAGCAAAGTAATATGCGTACGTTTGTGTGTAGACAAGTTCGTCTTGATCGTTCGATAGATCGCAGGCGCGAGGTGTCTTGTACGATTCTTTTTTGCTGATAAAGTACAAGGACGCGATCATTCACCGTGTTTAGTGGTTCGTTCCCCCTTTTTCTTACGCTCGTTGTGCATTTAATAACGTGTTATTTTGATACTCAGTTTTAATCGGACAGATCATGCCAAAAATTTATCATGTAGTTCACGATTCATTGATTTTTAATTTACGTATAACGGTATACACAGTCTCGTCATTATTAACTGTATCGATAGTAGCTCAGCGACTCGCCATCATTGACTCTTCGTTAAATATTAGCTGGCAACAGTCTCGAGTGTCGCGAGTCCCTAACGAGCGAATCGTTTGCGCGAACCAATTATCATGCACACAGAAGACAGTAAAAAAAACATGGTCCATGTCCAATGATATTTATTCGTGCCGTTTTTGTTATGTACATAGCCGAGAAACTGCATAATATAGTAAGTAATTCGAATTATACTATCGCCATTTAGTATAAAGGACTATAGATAAAATAATTAATATTATCGTCAGACTGTAAATAAAATTATTTTGTATGCCAAAATAAACCAAATGAATGACTCGACACACACAACTGTCACACACACGCAAACACACACACACACAGAATAGCGTTACGCCCGGACACCACAAACACACACACACGCGTAATCACACGTTTACGAAACACACGCAAAAGTATACACACGAGTGGTACAAGTTACAGTACGCGACAGCGGACGAGATTACATCTACAATATCTTACGAAGCATGCGCGTAGTTAGCGAACCACGGTTAATACTCGATTCTGTTCTTCGTAGGTATTATTTTTTAAGGGGTGAACAAAAAAAAAAAAAATCGATAATAGAATCCCGTATCGCGAACGGCCGTGCGTACTGTACCGAGAATAGAAATGTTATTGCCCTGTTTTCACGAAAATATTTCGTACCCAGCATTTGTTGCGTCACGGTAGAACCTCGATAATGAACGTTATGGCGAATCGATACAACGATCGAGGTAACCAATTTACGAAGATGTACCTTCGATAATTATGGTCACTACCGGTAGTCCACGGTTACGCGAGACTGATTGCGAGTCGATTTTCATAAAATGTGTGTGCAAGCGAGAAATGCAATTTCTTTACGAATGGAACGTGATATTCAAACACGTATAACCGAAAATAGTTTAAAGAAAGTCAAATTTATAAAATTACATTTTCATTTCTTGATGTCCCGTATGAAGGAAAATGTAAACAGTATGTGTGTATGATTTCGTACGACCGGGGGCCAGTGCACCACCTTTGTTTCTTGCCCCTTGAGCCTCACTCGTTGCCAAACGATCATCCATTCCAATAGTCGACAGAACGCAACGAACGATATACACGCGCGATCGACGCGATTGCATTTATCGAGATTCTACCGTGCATCTCTGAGCGAGGAGCATGAACGTTTCAGCGTGTTCTCATTCTTATAATAATAATATTAATATTAATATCAATAACATTTAATAACGATAATTATAATAACACCAACAATGATAATGGTAACGATAAGGACGCAAAAAGGAAAAAATGAAAAAAAATATAAACAACGGTGAACGTATCCGTCGTTTGTAAACTTTTGAACGAATTCACGCACCGTAGCCATTATTCTCTTCGTCGTTCTTCTTTCTGTGCATATCGGGGGTTACGCCGAGCTCGGGAAACGTGTGCACGGAGAAAAATGTATTTATTGATTAATCGATAAGACCCGAATGATCGAATTCTTCGTTACTTAGAATTGTGGATCGTAATCGACTATGTCAAAATTGCCTTTGACGCGTTCGTTCAACGAAAAGGTACGTTAGCAATAAATGTGTCCAGGCGACCGCGGCGCGGTAAAATAATCGTTACGCTCGTCGAACAATACCGCGGGAATATTTTTCATTCTTATTACGATAGATGGATGGAACGACGGGACTGTTTTATCGCGCCGTGCCCCATATGTATTTTCGTTATGTCCCCGCGGCCGAGAGCAATCGAAAGTTCCACTTAGAAAATATAGAGATTAGGACACGTTAACGATTCATATTTATCGACACGATTCGTGAAACACCAACCTTTTTAGCGTTCTCTCTTGGCTTGGGCGGTACAGACGACGTTTATTGCTAATTGTTTTCAGTCAGCGGATAATGCGTATATCTATCTCACAACTGTTTAAAAAACATTAACCGGTTCAGCGACAACGGAGTACAAGGATTGTGAATGGTATTGGTCGTGACGGTATTTAGAACGGCAATGTTTTTATAATCGCCAACATTTTTCGAAGTTTGAAATGGACACGCTTGGAAAAATCGTTAGAAAAAGAAACTTAGTTGTATTTCTGAAAACGACGAAAAAAAAAAAACAAACAAAAAAGAGAGAGGTTTAAATGGAGCATCCGTTTGGAAGAAATCGCTTTTCCGTTTCATTCTTCGGGGGAGAAAGCTCGATTATAGTTAGAAGAGTTAATTTTCTTTTTTTTTAAACAAAAAGCGAACAGGAGCTAACCGACAGAACCATGTCCGCGATGTAAATAAATTTATTCTTAAGGACTTAAACAGAAGCGACGATTCGTGGAGAGTGTATACTTATTATTATTATTTTTATTATTATTATTATTATATTATTATTATCGTTTGCAATTCGTGCATTTGTATTTCACAACTCGCATGCCGTCGAGCTGCGTATCGTGGGTACACGATCGACCCGGAAGTCCTCAGTCGCGAAAAAGCGTTGCCCGAAAGTGAATTGATACATGGAAAACGAATAAGCGAACGTTACTTTCAAAAGATGATATTTTTTTTTTTAAACGATTTCCACGTTCCTTTGAATCGAACGTATTTAAACGGGTTTACTCTCGACGCAAAGATGGTGGTCACATCCATTATTGTAATCGTAAGTGCAATCGTTACACCGTGAAAAAATGGGATTATCTTTCGGCGTATGTATTTAGATTTTTAAAGAGATATTTAAAAAAAAAAGACGCGCAATGCCTTTCTGTGTTTCTTCACGACTGACGATCTTCGGGATCGTGACGAGCTTGCCTAGTTTCGGGCAGCGTTAAAGAAAAAAAAAAAAAAAGTTATCCTCAATAAAGAGAGAAGCAAAAGAATGACTAAAACAAAGCATCTCGCATTCTTCGTTATTTCACCTCTCGTGTCCGTGTTCCTTCGATCTTTATCGCTCGTCTATTTCGTTTTTAATCGTACGTGTATTCATACACATTTGTCTGTTAGAGATTTCCTAGTCTCGAGGAGAATTGGTCGAATGCCTGACGTTTAATTACGCCATTTGTACTTTATTTTACTATATCCAGTCAAGATAATGTGTAGACCGAATTCACAGCAACGCAAAATATTTAAAGTTAAAGTTAAACTCTTAAGTAGAGAGTTAAGAAGATTCTAGAGACCAAAGTAAGACGAATAATCAAGAATATAAATTTCTTGACTAAGGCTTCGTTAAAAAGTTATTAAAAAATTTCAAATCGTTTTGAAAAAATTATTTTTGGTTGCGGGGGTCAATTACAAACATTTTTGGTGAATACGCATACCCCCGAAATCCTACCCAGTTTTGAGAAAAAAATTCGTTACAGGAAATATAATGTCTGATCATGAATGAATGATTCCCCTGAAATTTCACGTGTTTCAAATCGTTCTGAAAAAATTATTTTCGGTTGCGGGGGTCAATTACAATCACTTTTGGTCAACAGACATACCCCTGAAATCCTACCGATTTTTTATAAAAAAAATTCAGTACGGGCGGAACTTTAAACGTTAATAACTTTTTAACAAGGCCTCCATCGACAAATTGGTATTCTTGCTTTTCGCCCTAGTTTGGCATCTAGAATCTCTCGTTACAATTTTTCCCAGGGGTTGCCGACCACCCTGTGATATGTGTAAGTTATACATATAATCTAATAGAAATCAATACTTTCAAGAGAAAATTCTTATTTCTTCTAAAGTTTTGAACTATTCTATGCACATTATACACGTATAACAATTAAACTCGTACTTCGTGACAACTCTTTAGCATGTATGCAGTATTGTTTAACACGTGGAGACGAAATTGGAAATTGCGCCTGCGTGTTACTTTACGGTTAAAAAAATGTAGATAGGTATACCGTTCCGATCATCCAAGATCCAAGTACTTGCTGCTTGCTTATACTGTGCAGTATGTATTCGCGAACCTTCGAGTTTGCACGCCAGATTCCGATAACGTAATATTTACGCATGATTGATCCAACATAGATTCGGTAAAGTGCTTTAATACCGCGATCATTAAACACTTCTACCGGACGTGTCGTATACGTAATTGTACGTAATTCACATGACAGTGGTGTAAAAAAGATCAGGTATTTCTTCACGTTTATTATTATATTTTAAAGCAACATAGTTTTACACAATTAAAAATAGACGTATTACGATTGTTTCTTTTTTGAGTATTTATCAATGTAAAAAATTATTTGGAACAATTACTATTAGAATCGAATAGAACCATTTTCACGAATGTAATTTTGCAACAAGTAAATTGCAACAAGATTCAAATAACATTTATGATTTTTTTTATCTCAACTAATTTCAGAATGAGTCACATTAGGTGTTTGCACAATCTTACATCACGTTTATTCACCAGCAACTTTGAACCTTTCACGAGGAGCTTGTTAATTAAAAATGAACGTAGGGGTGTTCATCATTCGTAAGTAATGTTAAATAGAAAGAATCGAATGTATTAAAATTCAACAAACATATTAATATTAACGAAACAATATGTTCTAGGTGCCAAATATTGGTAGTTGGAGGTGGTACCGGAGGTTGTAGTATGGCTGCAAAATTTGCCAACAGGTTTAAGGATCCAAATCAAGTTATCGTAGTAGAGCCAAGCCATGTAAAGTTTTCTTTTATTAATACGGTTGAAATTCTTACTTTAAAAGTAGAAAATTACTTAATATTTCACAAAGCACCGTAGAATATCATTTTATGTAAATTACTGTTATACTTTCTAGGCCCACTATTATCAACCTTTATTTACTTTAATCGGGGGCGGTATAAAATCAATTCAAAGTTCGAAAAGATCAATGAAAGATGTTTTACCGCAAAAAGCAAAGTGGTTTCAGGAAAGCGTAATGAGATTCGAACCAGAACAGAACGAAATAATTATGAGCAACGGCGATACTGTGCAATACAATTACATGATCGTTGCAATAGGCTTGCAATTGCATTGGGAAAAAGTGAGGTTGGAGAAAATATCTTACATCTTTCAATTAGGAAATAGAAATTACTTGTATTTCACGTGTATATCAGGTACCAGGTTTAATAGATGGACTTCGAGACCATACGTCGCAAGTTTGTTCTATATATGGGCCTGAAACTGTTGCGAATGTCTTTTCTACAATTTCAAAAACCAAGGATGGCACCGCCTTGTTTACCTTCCCAAATAGCCCAGTTAAATGCCCCGGAGCTCCACAAAAAATTGCGTATCTTGCAGAAGATTATTTTCGTAAAGTAAATATGAACGATATGTATTTTGATTCTCTTCCTGTTGCTAAAATTTAGTACATCGAGATGATACTTATTTTTCTTAAAGCACAAGGTGCGTGATAATATAAAGGTTGTTTATAACACGGCCTTACCGGTCATATTCGGTGTTAAAAAATATGCAGATGCGCTTTGGAATGTGTGCGGACAAAGAGACATTACAGTAAATCTTCAAATGAATCTTGTGGAAATAAATACGTCTGCACGGGAAGCAGTGTTTCAGAGATTGGATAAACCAAATGAGACGGTTGTACAGAAGGTATCTTTTTCTTTTTCTGTACAAAGTACACATATAAGATAATGCAATTTATAATAAATACTCTTGGTTAGTATTCGTTGCTTCACGTATGTCCGCCGATGGGTCCACCGGATGTTTTGAAAAGGCACCCTTCATTAACGAACGAAGCGGGATTTTTGTCAGTTGATCCTAAAACGCTACGTCATACGAAATACTCAAATATATATGGAATAGGAGATTGTACGAGTTCTCCAAATTCGAAAACGATGGCTGCGATAGGTACAATAATATTTAGTAAAAACTATGAAACGGAATTTCCGTGAATATTTATTTTTATTTTAGCGGCTCAAGGAAAAGTATTATATAATAATCTAACTAACGATATGGTGAATAAATCTACGACTATGGCTTACAACGGTTATTCGTCTTGTCCTTTGGTTACTGGTTATGGGAAATGCATTTTGGCCGAATTCGATTATAATTTACAACCACTGGAAACGTTTCCAGTAAATCAAGGACGAGAATATTACTTTACGTATTTGCTTAAGACATATTTTTTCCCGTTTATTTACTGGCATCTGATGCTACGGTAAATTTTCCATAATTTTTAATAAATCTTTAATCAAACGTAGAGAGACACGAGATTTGCTAATAATAATTGTTTAAATTCGCAGCGGCAAGTGGGATGGACCGGAATTCTTCCGCAAATATACAAGTATGATAAAAAAAAGAGAAACTTCTGGTAAAGTTTAAAATTAAAATGCTTTCGTAGAACAGATATATTAAAAACAAAAAATCATTGTACATAATTTTTTTTTAAATGTTATTTAGTATCGCTAATAAATAACTGTTATTCATAAGATATTTATTTTATAAAATACGTAATCGTGAAAAAATGGTCGGTGATTAAAATTTCTACGTTTATAACAAAACAGGGATATATGTATGTAAACATATATTACCTGTATTCAAAACCTTATGATGTTAATTTCTATATAAGCGTAGGGCAAATAAATAGACTTTTGACGCACTATCGTATTGCTTTTTTCTTTCGGTCGAGAAAATTAAGATACACGTTCGGTCATTGAAAAGCTGTTCGTTTCCACCGGGTCTTATCGACCAATCGGATCAATTTTCGCGCAGTATCATTACGATTCACGTAGTACCGTAAAGATATCGACGCGTCAAGTTTGACGTAAACATGGATGGCCAGCTATTGGTAGGTTTTTTAATGTGCGTCTTACGTTTTTTTTATACAGACTTGATAGTAAAATACGCCTCGTAATAATATATACTTGATGTAAATATTGTCTCGTGCAATTGTAATCATGAATCGTGGTGGATCATCGAAAGTTGTTCAACATAACCTCTCTCCGATGCTTCAGAGTGACCAGGATCGCGATTTTCTGCAACGCGTATGATTTCTATTGATTTTAAGTTTGCTTTTCCTGTTTGTTCCCATTTATTGTCGTTCAGTTGGATAATAATACTAAATGCAGGTGTTTCTTAACCTATTGTAACTTTAACGTAGCATGCGTGGTTATTAAAAATTGTAGTCGTATACTACATGGGTGCATACGTGGGAAAGAATCTTTTTCTCGAAATTTTCTTTATTTTAATACGAATCGTGTATGACTATAGGAACCAACGCTCTATACTGTCAAGGGTATGGCCATCCTTGACAACGATGGTAACAGAATATTAGCCAAATATTATGACAAGAACGTGTTTTCTACGTCGAAGGAGCAGAAAGCATTCGAAAAGAATCTTTTTAATAAGACGCATAGAGCAAACGCAGAAATTATTATGCTAGATGGTTTAACCTGTGTTTATAGAAGTAATGTCGACTTGTTTTTTTATGTTATGGGAAGTTCTCATGAAAACGAGGTAAATGCAACTCCGAAATAAACAGCTGCTTTGATGAAAAGTTTGTCATTAGTAAGATTTTGCTACTTCTGTTCCAGCTTATCTTAATGAGCGTCTTAAATTGCTTGTACGACTCGGTTAGTCAAATTTTAAGAAAGAACGTCGAGAAAAGAGCTGTTTTGGATAGCCTAGATATAGTTATGTTAGCCATGGATGAAATCTGTGATGGAGGGTAAATAAAAATGATTAAGTAATAACGTTTGTAAAACGGTACTGAAAAATCCATTGATAATTTGGTTTTTTAGGATTATTCTCGATGCCGATGCTTCCAGTGTTGTTCAGAGGGTAGCATTGCGAACTGATGATATTCCACTCGGAGAGCAGACAGTTGCACAGGTAACAGTTAGCGTTAGGTTACAAGTTTGATGAATTTAATGTCGTAGTAACGTTTGTGTCCGTTTGTGACATAGAAACACTTTCGATTTCTTTATTTTGTGTTCATGCATCATTCTACATTCTTCGCACAGTCTCTGATTGTAAGTTTTTGTAACATTAGAAGACAGAATAGTTAAAATTTTTTTCTTCTAACTCTCATGTATGTTATTAAGTACTTTATTTTTGTTCTAGGTTCTGCAATCGGCGAAGGAACAACTAAAATGGTCTTTATTGAAATAAGTATTATACATAGAAATCGTATTAAATATTTTATAAAACTTGCACTATCTTAAGTGTAAATGTAAACATTTCTGGAATACTGATCATCCATCAATTATTATACTTGATTTTGATTTTTTTGTATTAATGTTCTGGTTCCAAGAAATTTTGCAATATACTTCGAAGAGAAAGTATAAAATATAGCATTTATTTTTATGATATTTAGTATTTTTGATGTATATTTATATTTATATTTATATAATCTGTATTTAGTTCATTAAAAATGAAGTATAAAAAACTATATTTAATTTTTCATTCTTAATTAATAATGTGAGTTGCAATAATCTTGATTCTAAATATCATAATCGTCGTGTTATTTTTTATCTTATTACAATATATTATTTGAATCCCTTTTCAATTAACGTTATTTCCTTTATATGTATATTACACGATAATTATCGTGTAATTGTATTGCGATTACTTTGAAGAAGTAATTCCAATAAATATAATAGGACTGTATTTTGTCCAACGCTGATAAGGGTTTAATGAAAAATAAAATCCACTTTAAGGTTAGAAGAATTTCTATAATAAATACAGCGTCATATTGGAAAGCTTTTCCCGTGAAATAATTATAAAAAATACAGATTTATCTACTCTAGCATTATTTAATTAGCAAAGAAACTGTGATATAAACGCAGTTACAATATTACGCGAAAAAGTTTGAATGAAATCTGCGTCCCCACAAGTGCGACCTCTCGTTGTTAGATGTGGGGCTAAAAAATCAGCTACACGATAGATGGTGTTACTTGCACATCATTGAATGACCTAAGAAGTTACTTATAAAGTTTTACTTATGGATAAGTGCTGACTGAAAGTATATTTAATTGATAAAAAAGAAATTGAATAAATTAAATATTTAAGGTTCAATTTATTTGTTCACATTTTTGTGTCTTTATTGCGAACGAATAAAATTAACTTTCTATTACAATTAATTTCTCCGTTAGCTTCTCGATTCTCTATCAGCAAAGGAATGAAGTGCAAAAGATCGTAAGTTGAAACTGAATATTCTCCAAACTTTTAAACGATTTTCAACGCAATCGCCGGTACAAAAAATTTTTCGCAAAAATTCCGGACCCGAGGCGGTGAACATCATTTCAACTCCTTCGACGTGGAAAGGGGTACGCGATAGTTGTTTTTTTCCTGGTCTCGGGGGAAATCTGAGGTCGACCTAAGGGGGAGGAACGTAGCTAAAGGTCGTACAGCGAACGCCACCTAGAAATCGCAGGACAGTGGTCGCTTATTTGAAGTCAGGTGACAAGCTGGTAGCCCGATTCGATTGTGTCCGTTGGTTACTCTTTCATTGGGTTCCTCCGCGCTGGGAATTTTAGATTTGATTACAAAACGCGTCCACCTACCCTCCCCCCCCATCGGCACCATCTCCTCCACCTCCGCGTCGCGATCGTGCTTTCGCCCTTGCAGCTAGCGATGGGACCAATAAACTCGCGTGTGACCCACTCGTTTCTCCAGATCAACGTTGATCAATTTTACTTTATCGTGTATTCTACGTTATAAATCATAGATAATTTGGAAATTAATTACGTACTTTATATCAAAATGTATTATTTTCTACGAATATAATAGGTATGTTTAAAAAATTTCAAATGGTTCTGGAAAAATTCTGCCTAGGTTCTGGGGTCAAATACAACCATTTTTGGTGAATAGACATACCCCCGAAATCTTACGCGCTTTCGAGAAAAAAATTCGAGTAGATGTGAAATTTTGAGGCGAAATTAAAAATTTCAAATCGTTTTGAAAAAATTATTTTTGTTTGCAGGGGTCAATTATAATCATTTTTGGTGAATAGACTTACCTCTGAAATCCTACCCAGTTTTTAGAAAAAAATTCGAGAAGGTGGTAGAATTTTTCGGCAAAATTGAAAAGTTTAAAATCGTTTTGAAAAAATTATTTTCGATTGGAGGGGTCAATTACAATAACTTTTGGTGAATAGACTTACCCCTGAAATCCTATCCAATTTTTAGAAAAAAATTCGAGAAGGTGTGAGATTTTTCGACAAAATTAAAAAATTTCAAATCGTTCTAAAAAAATTATTTTTGGTTGCAGGGGTCAATTACAATCATTTTTGGTCAATAGATATACCCTCGAAATCCGACGCATTTTCGAGAAAAAAATTCGAGTAGCTGGTAGAATTTTTCGGCAAAATTGAAAAGTTTCAAATCGTTCTAAAAAAATTATTTTTGTTTGCAGGGGTCAATTATAATCATTTTTGGTCAATAAACATACCCCCGAAATTCTACCCACTTTCTAAAAAAAAATTCAGTAGGGGTGGAACTTTAAACGTTAATAACTTTTAAACGAAATCTCAGTCGAGAAATTGGTATTCTTGATTTTCGTCTTATTTTGGCCTCTAGAATCTTCCATTACAATTTTTCCCAGGGTTACCCGTACACCCTATATAACATTTTAATGGTGGATGAGCGATTAATTGCTTGCTAACCCTTGGACGATCCACCCTCGCCATTTAACATAAATGTAAAAAAATACAGTGCAGAATAAAAGTTTTCGAGGGAATCGTACTATAACGGGGAATGAAATAGAACATGTAGTCGGTTCCATCGCTACTTCGAACCGCGTCCACAGCCCCCCGTTCCACCTGCACCGATGAAAAACTCTTGTTGCTCGATCGCGACGGAATTATTGGCCGACCGTGCTTATTTATGGCGTTCATTTTCCTGGAGATTGCAAGAGAGGACAGTGCCGGTCCCACTCGCTTCGGCTCGATTTTTTTGCCGGAGCGTGTCGATGCGCGATTTATGGCGTGTCAGCTGAGAGGTGAACAGGACGTTGATAACGAAGACACTTTGACGCGGGGCATCGTCGCCCCGGTCTCGCGATCAAATTAATCCTGCGACCTTTGCGTTCGTTGGGAAACTCCCACGAGCAACGCTCGGTCCAACGTTTCACGATTCCTTGATTCAGGAATCGATGATCCCCGGCGAATCCGCGTCATTTTCCAAGACAAAAACCTCGATACTTATTGTTAATTTCAATAGCCTTTCAGGGTCAAAGAACTATCTGTTATTGTTAAAGTTTCACGCGACACACTCTTGGAACAATTAAACTAACGGTAGAAAAACCTTTTTGCAGGGGATCGTGACAGCAGGATACTGCAGAGGAACACGAGAACGATTAATCATCCTGGATGACTTCGTGCCGCGACAGATGAAGTCACTGCATTATAGAGGATCGCTGCTTTAAATGGGATTAATGTCAGGATCCACCGAATTTGTTGACATATGTTATCTCCTGGTACCTAAGCACATGTTGTTACTAATAACGTCGATTCGTGTACATTTTATGATGAAAATTGCATTTGAGAAAGCAATTTATTATAAATACATTTGATTCGCAGAAAGTTCAGCTTTGGGTGCTAAACCAACTTCAATTACAAGAGCATTCGAAGCAGCCTATTTCTGACTCGCGCGAGCAATAGATGGGCATCGAATCGTTGGTTCGTTCGAACGTCGCCTGATATTATTGATCAAATTGATGGGCGCAATTTGTTTCAGGGTTTGTCACCGTGACATCATGTACGTCCTTTACATATGGTAACGATCCTGTTTATTATTTTGCGGGGATCCCCTGCACTTGTCGAAAGGGGTAATCCCTACCTGCTGTCGCCCCAGAGAATCAAGGGGAACGAATCGAAACCGGGCCCGAAAGGGTTGGCGACTCGTTAATGAAATTAATCGAGCGTAAAGTCCCAACTCCTAGACTCCAATCCAGATTTCGTCACTTGTTCTTTCGACGAACGTATAAACGTGGATTACACTTATGATCTTGAAAAATTACGCATACAGTAGTCGTTGCCGTGTGTCGGAGTCGGAAACGCAGGTTGCGAAGCATCGCTGACGATCTCAGCGATAAAACGAAAGGGTGTGGCGTGTATAAGTTGGAACAAAGGGGATTACGTTGTCGAGGAGGCAAGTGGATCCGTGAAGGGATTACCGAGCAAATATTTATGTAGCCAGCCCTCGGGGGACGGTGGATCATCAAATTCCAATGACAAAACGGGCATAGCCACGGGTGGTGACAATACTCCTTTGTACGAGGGGTTACATTCACATATGCTGCGCCATTTGCCAACGAAACTTTATGCGATTCGGGGCTCCCGAATTCCCGTGGCCCGTACCCGGCAACGGTGAAAGCGAAACGCGAATTAAACTCGATCGGAGATCATCGTCCATCTCCCGGAATTAATCGTTTCACGAGCTTTTTAACACCTTTTCCAGTTAATTACTGGTAATTGTTCACAGTCGCGACTTGACCTTGCAAACCGGAAGCTTTCGACTTAAAACGTAGTGGAAGGATATGATTTTTTAACAGCTAAGTAAGTCTGGATAGAAACAATTAGAATCTGAGGATAACGTTAATCGAACATGGTCTTTTTTCAAATTGTTTCAGGATTATCATCTCTGAACGAGGGAAATTGAAGGGTGTCCGGTGTGTCGAGTCGATTTTGATCGATGATGATATTTTCGTTCGCGCGCGTAAGCACAGCGTTCGGCCCACATCATTAGCTGCTGAAAGGGAGGATAAAAGATGCAGGAACAGCTGTGTACCACTTTGGGTGGTAATAGTTTTTTTCTTGGATAAAAAGCTTCATCCAGGAATCCAGAAATTAAATAAATATCAATCAACACACTAAGGTACGCATGATGTAACGACACGTGTGATTCAACTTTTATATAGCTTTATATACATACCATATATTTATTTACAATATTTAATTGTTGTGGAGCTGAATAACCCACATTCAAGAAAAATATCTGGCCATATTGTCGAGCAACCATAAAATTTAATATTGATTATTCGTTTCAAATACTCTGACTGTAATCTCTTTTACAGTGTACAGACATTAATTTCTTAATTAATTTCAACTGTTCGAAAATACGAATCCACCTAATTTATCGTAAGTTTCGTCGCGATTTTCCGAAGGATTCCACCGTGAAAGTGCTCCTCTCGCGCGGCAAGTTCGCCAGTTATTCCCAAGAAATCTACTGCAAAGTGTTCCTCTGATAAACAGGCC